ATTATATTTTGGTAACAGAGAGGAAATCTCCCATATCCTTATTTCTCAAACTATTTTTGGCTCTTTTAAGCATTATCCTACCAGAGGTACCTTATTATCAAAGTTAAATTTCTCCCCAAAATCATTGAATTGTTTTAATTTTTGTGCTAATATAGGAATGACTATTATCTTTATAATATGGCCCTTTCCGGTCTTATTCATGGTTTGTCTCACCATTTATTTAGTTTTTATTTTATGTTCAACAGTAGTATTTTGTTTTTTTCATATAGGTCTTACAGGTTTTTTTTAAACTCCTCAATATTTTGCATTTTTTTGTTACTGTTGTGAATGGGTTCCTTTTTCCATTATATTTTTAATGGAATTGCTAGGATTTATGTTATGTCTAATGTCTACCATTATCTAAATTCTTATTGTTTTATTGATATTTTTGTTAACATTAATTTTGTTTACCAGAAACATAAGGCTGGTGTGCATAAAGCAGAAACCCTTAGAAATACAAGGAAATACTGGGGAAAAGAAAACAAAATCTCAATTCTCCTTCAGAGTTTGACAAAGTATAGAAAAATATAAGCAAGAATTTGTATGATAAACAACTTTACACTTAAAAGAGAATACTCTCTGACACCCCGCAGAGCAAGGCCTGTTAGACACATCATCATACAGAAAACAATAATAAAGTCTACCAAGCAGAAATTGTACAGGTTACATTCTCTGATTGTGATGCAATAAAACTAGAAATCCAACAATTAAAAGATGACCATAAATAACCTGACCATATGGAAGTTTTAAAACAGTTTTCTAAACAATTTATTCTTCAAAGTAGTGTACTCTTGGGTTAAAGAGAAAACTAAACATAAATTACATATTATTTACTGATGAACAAAAATGAGACAAGTTCATTTAAAAATATGTAACCAAATGTTCTGTCATTAATTAAAATTGAAAATAAATAAGCCAAGTTTCAACTCAAAAAAAAAAAAAGCTAGAACAACAACAGAGAAAAAGAAACCAGGAGGGGGAAATTTTAAAAGATAAAAATAGAAATCAGCAAATTATAAAATGAAACAATATTCCTCTCAAAGTGAAAATAAAACCTTAGGTCATTAAAATAATAATAATAATAATAATAATAATATAGCTAAACTGGCAAACCTAATGTACATAAAGAGAAAATAAAAATATACAACATTAAGAAAAAGTCAATATAACTATGGAAACATAAGATTAAAATAATGATAAGATATACTGTGTATAAAGTTAAGCAAATACATTTTAAATCTATAATTTTTAATGATAAAAACCTTTATCATTACAAAAATTGACTCAGAAAGAGGTTAAATCTTGAACAGACTAATTACCAAGAAGAAATGAAAAGATTTTTAAAGACACATGCTAACAAAGATCCAGACCCAGACGGTTTTATGAGTGAGTTTGTTTCAGCCTCAAAGGACTGATTATTCTTGTATCATTTATACTATTCCAGAATATAGAAAAGAGAGGACAGCTTACATATCTCTGATATCAAAACATGAAAAATTACCACAAGAAAGAAAGCTATAGATCTCTCATTTATGAATATAAGTTAATATCCTAAATAAACATTAACGAATATAATCCAAAGTATCTTGAAAGAATAATACACAATGATTAAGAATGATTTATTCCGGGCCGGCCCGGTGGCGCACTGCTACAGTGCGCCGCTTGGGAGCGCGGCGGCGCTCCTGCCAAGGGTTCGGATCCCACATACAGACCGGCTGTCCACTGGCTGAGCGAGGTGCGGGCGCAACACCGAGGGTTGCGATCCGTTGCCGGTCACGAAAAAAGACAAAAAGGAAAAAAAAAAAAGAATGATTTATTCCAGGAAGACAAGGATAGTACAATATTAGGAAATCTATTAACGTAATTCATATATCATTAATAAAATGAAGGAAACTGATCATATGGTCATTATTAGTAGACGTTTTTAAAAGTGTTTGATAAAAATTCATTCTACATTCTGAGTAGTAACTGAATTTTACGAAAAATAGAAGAGAACTTTCTAAACATATCAATATTGTCCTTATTATTTTGACTGTCTAAACATTTACTTGAGGATCATAATAAGTATCACTGACTAAAGTATTGAAAATTAGGACAGTCAGCCCTACTAAAGATTTTTAGGATGGATAATCACTCAGAAATCAGTTTCCTTAGAACAGCTAAAATAATACTGTATTCAGGTTAAACTTTTTATCTCATATAATGCTAGACTTTATTTTGAATTGAGGTAAAAAGATAAATGTGTGCCCTCACAATATCTGTGCATGTCTGTAAACCACTTGAGTGGAACTTGATAGACAGTTTGCACCTGCACTTTTGTTTACAATACTTAGAGAAGCAAGGAAGTGTTCCTTCAGCTAGAAGTATTAATACAGCAGAAATAAATCATGCAACTAAAAACAAGAATTGGACACTCTCCTTAGCAAAAGTAGCTCCTTCTCTTTGGGGAATGATTGGTCATTGAATTTTGCCCAGTTATCTTTCTGAGAATGATTGCCTTAAAATCATTAATTTGATATGTGGTTAAACCTTTATTTTTATGTGTACAGTATTGTGATAGGTATTTACAGATATAACCATGGGTAAAGTCAGGCATGACTTCAGGAAGGAATCATACTATGAACTATGTTACAAGGTCTGATTTTCAGGTAGCAGTAGGTTCTGGGAGGTGGTGGTGTCCAAGCTGGGCCTTGTAGGACAAGCAGAATTTCCACGTGTGTAGAGGAGAAAGAAGTGTTTACCAGGCTAGGAGAATAATGTAAACAAAAGCAAGGAGGCAGGAGCTATCTGATATGTTTGTATAATCTAGTGGTGCTCAAGCCTAGCCAAGCGTGAGGGTCACCTGAAAAACTTTTAAAAAAAGAAAGAAGGAAAAGAAAAACTCCAAGGGCCCAACCTGTGAGATCTAATTCAGTAGGGGCTAGATAAGGCTCAGATACCTGAGTTTTTCCAAAAGGCCCATGGTAGATTCTGATGCAAGGTCAGGGCTGAGAACCAGTGGTATAGGATAGTGTGTGACCAGAGTGTAAAGGATATGGAGGTACTATGGGAAATGATGCTGGAAAAATATGTTAGAGCCAAATGATAACTGGACAGTATTGTTTTGGTACTCTCGGTTTTATGTTTTGTTTTTTATTTCTATTACATCACTACCATCCCTCCTTTAGATATCAACCAGGTATCTCATAAAGGAAACTTGATCCCTGTGTGAATTCAAAGCAAAACATGTTAAATGAGATGAAGAGAGAGAACCTGGCAAGAATCTTATTCCAGTTCAGTGTTGCTGTGTGATCTCAAAACTTAAAACAACCACCATTTATTATTATTCTTGTAATCTTGTCAGTTGGCTGGACTTAGCTGGACTGTTCTTCTGCTCTGTGTGATGACATTGGTGGGAACTGCAGTCATCTGGAGGGTCAATTGGGCTTGACTGTCCATGGTGGCTCACTCACATGGTTTTCAGCTGAGAGCTCACCTTGGGGTTGTCGACCAGGGCATCTTCAAGGGTTTCACACAGCATGGCAGCTGGGTTCCAAGAAGTAGCATCTTGAGAACAAGCATTCAAAGAGGCCCAGGCTACAAGGCTTCTTATGACCTAGGTTTGGCAGTCTCAGATATTACTTCCACCATGTTTTATAGGTCAAGCAAGTAACTAAGGCCAACTCAGATTCAATGGAAGGTGAATAAACTCCATCCCTTGATGGGAGGAGTAGTGCATGCATACATATAAAGAGCGAATAAAATTGGTGGCAGCCATTTTTGGAGACTCGCTACTGCAATCTTTTTTTTTTTTTTTTTTTTTTTGTCTTTTTCGTGACTGGTAAGGGGATCGCAACCCTTGGCGTGGTGTCACCCACACCGCGCTCAGCCAGTGAGCGCACCGGCCATTCCTATATAGGATCCGAACCTGCAGCAGGAGCGTCGCTGCGCTCCCAGCGCCGCACTCTCCCAAGTACGCCACGGGCTTGGCCCGCTACTGTAATCTTAATGCACCAAGTAATGTAGAATCAAAATACATAAAGCAGAATTTCAGGAAATTTAGATAGACAATAGTAATACAGTTAGACAAAACAATAAGGATAAAAGGGATCTGAATAATATAAAAAGCTTATGTAATAGATTTATGAATTGAATTTCTTATCTGACAATAAAGAATATACCCTCATTTCATGTATCCATAGAATATATACCCTTCCTCCCCAAAAAAGGAAGCACTTGAACACTTATACACTCATAAATATGAACCCCTGACATGGTATATTTTTCTCAGCCCTCAAGCTGGCAGAGTAATTACAGTTGTGTTTGATTCATCTATTAATATGCACTGCTCTGTATTAAATGGGCTTCTTCTCTTTTTGAAATCCCTTCCTCTGGATGACTTTTACACATGAACCCAAATAGTTGGGTTACACATTCTCTCATAAGTTCCTCCCCATTTTTTATTTGTTTTCTAAAAAGAGCAGCATGGCAGAGGATTTATAAGAGCAGTTTTGACTTGTCCTGGGTGCTCTGTGGACATCAGGGTTCGCCATCCAGCAGCCCCCGGTACCATCTTCTAATTTCCTAATAATGCTGACCTGGGAATAGAGCTGGAATCCTTGCCATCACCTATTTCCCATGTATTATTATTTTTTTAAGCCCCTCTAGAGAAAAAAAAAATAGTTTGGAGTTAAGATTTTTTATTTTTTTATTTTTTTTTTTTGCTTTGCTTTCTGAAACTCTTGTTATTTTGCCATTCTAGTAAAAGCAGAGTCTGAGGTAGGAACCCAGGTTGTGGGGATGACATAATTTCCTGACCTGTCAGTGGTAAGTCGTATTTACTTATTGCTTCGATCGCAGTGTCCCCATGTGCTTTATAGGAGTTCTTCCGAACTGGATCTTGTCATTAAATCTCCCAGGATGAGGAGTTTAAGCCAAGAGCCACCTTCCTCAGTAACGCCCAGATCCGTTTGCCGTTGCAGGTCGTCACGCTGTGGTACAGAGCTCCAGAGGTCTTGCTCCAGTCCAGCTACGCCACCCCCGTGGATCTCTGGAGTGTTGGCTGCATATTTGCAGAAATGTTTCGTAGAAAGTAAGATATACATTTTGTTTCACTATGCTTTCCTTGAAAAGAGACTTTGGATTTTCAGTAATTTAAGTGGCAGCATGACACTTCTCTCTCAAGGAGGGTCAGGACGTCCAGATCTACCTGCTCCAGGCTGCCACTTCCAAGCCATTCCTGAAACTGTCTTCTCAGTCCTTACAGTGTAGTTTTGTATGCCAGTAGGTTCCAGCTCTTGGAAAGTCAGTTTGGAAGGGAATACTCACTCCACTGTTCTTAGATTTACATTGTTTTTGTTAGTGATAATAGGACATGGTAACATGAAGCATATCATGGTATTTTTTTAGTGAGGAAATATCCTCAAGGTGGACTTTATCCACAGAAGGAGGACCAGGGCTGTTAAGTATATAGAAATTTTTTAACGGAAATTTTGAGGGTGAGAACAGTTGAGAAAACAGAATATTTAGGCTGAAAAAGAATAGGCAAGGAGGATGTCAGTGCTATTTCACAATACTTTAAATGCTGCCCTGTGGAGGAGAGATTAGACATATTCAGGCACTGTAGAGGGCAGAAATAAGACCAAGGATATAGAAATTACAGAAATAAAAATTTTTGATCAGAGAGAGGAAAATCTAATGATTAGACAGTTATCTGAAGAGTAGATTGGGGTTTGTGAGTTCTCACTGGGTGTCAGAGAAGAGGCTAGCCCACCACACACTGTCAGTGTTTTCAGCAGCTTTCGTAGAGTAGATAGGTAGACTAGATGACCTTCAGGGCCCCTCTGAGTCTAAGAGTCTGTTATTCATTTGTTTGATTTTCAGGTCACAAGAAATAGCCAAACAATATAATAAAGATATGCCAGGAAAATAATCCATACCTGGGTACTAAGTTCAGCCTGGTCGAAATTAAACAAAGAACCTAATCATAATCTAATCTCTCTTTTCTATTTTTATTTCCATGGGAAAATATGAGTAGGGAGGCTGAATGTATTCCCACTGGACATGGTATGTTCAAAATGTAGCTGCATGATAGCTCTCAAGAAAAAGGAGTGGTCAGCCATTGCTTGTTTGTTTGTTTTAACCAAACAAGGTTTTATGCATGTAATAAATTTGGGGAACTATTTCTAGAACTCAGCAGATTCATCTGTAGCTCATAGGATGGGCTGTAAAGGAGATCAAACTGCAAAGGTGTTTAATGCAGCCCTACTGTGTGCCAAGTACAGCACCAAAGCTCTTCTCTTATGCTACCTTTTTTACTCCTCACAGTAAGAGGAAACTGAGATGGAGTGGTAAGTGTACTTGTCTAACATCTGGCAGCTAGGAAGTAACAGGGGTATACATGCAAAGGCAGTCTTTCCACTCCTAATCCTGCATTGTTTTTCAACCAAGGAGGGGAGAAAAAAAAGTTAATATTGAACTCAACTGCAGTGTTTGCTGAACATGCTAAATAAGGGGCTTTTAAAGTGAGGCCCCTGGACGAGCATCATCAGCATCACCTAGAACCTTGTTGGAAGTGCACATTCTCAGGCTGTAGTCCAGACCTACTGGATCAGAAGCTCTTGGGCTGGGGTCCAGCAAGCTGTGTTTTTAACAAGCCCTGCACATGATCTCAATACACCCTCCAGGGTAAGAACCACTGGGTTGGATGACAGTATCACCAGGGATGGGCAGTCTTTAAAAGTGCGGCTCTCAGGCATCTCTCTTGAGAATCTGATTCATTACCGGGCTGGGGCCAGGAATTCTTGTTTATAAAAAAATGCCTCAGGTAATTATTTTCATCCAGGTGTGGAAAACATTGCATTAAAGGCTTATGGTCAGAACTGGGAATAATTTACTGTCAATAGAGCAGGGTGAGAGTTAGGCCAGTCATTCTAGTTCATCCCAGGAATAACTTGGTGCAGCTAAGAATTGATTAGAGAAATGCTTATTGGAATTACATTTATGTGTCTAGAATTGTCCTCAAATGTAAAAAGTCCTTCTTTTGGTATGGTAGGAGGGCAGTCAGTTATTTTTCAACCATACAGACTTGAATACTAGCCAAGATTGATGATAAAAACCAATTTTTTAAAAAAGATGTTAGAAGAAAGATAAAATTTAAGAAATAAGCATTTATTACTAAGAAATTTGCTGTATATTTAAGTTTAGGCAGTCCCCACTGATGGAACAAATGCAATCAAAAATTTTATTTTAAAGCATTAAAAAACATTTTCCACTGAAGTGATAGTATAATTGGTTATTGGGTTCCCAGCCTAGCTTGCAGAATCCTGTATAACCTATAACATACATGAAACATCAATTGTGCTAATTCATCACAACCTTTTTCTGTGGGAAAATTCATTCTGTGTTTCAATCTAAGTTGACAGGAATACCCTTTCTCCACCCTGGCATTTGGATCGAGAAGGGGGACTCAAATGTTGGAGGCTCAAGGAAAGGCTTCTTTGACAATAATGGCAACAATCTGCTTCAGTTTGCTGGAAAAGTGAGATACTGGGTAGAGACCTATTGGCTCTTAATATGTGCGCATAAGAAAATACGCTTTCTCCTAGAGCCTTGCACAAAGGTAGTAAATTGAAAAGTAGTTGCTTGGAGGGGGAAGAAATATCAGAAACCAGGTCCATGTGCCTTTAAGGTTGCAAGAGAATGAATCCAGGCCAATCACACATCATTACTAGGGTGGGTGCCTTGTCTTCTAGGTAGTTCCTGCTGGTTTGGCTGTGCCCTTGAATGTGGCCATGGGATCTGACCCTTGTTCCTGCTCAGTTCACGTTTGGTATTTCCTATGATATCACCCAGATATTTGAACCTGGAACGCTTCTTAGTTATGCTAGATGTGTTCTGGGGTCCAACCCCCTACTTGACCTGATTCTGACCTGACTCCTGATTGATTCAGTGGTGACCCAGTTGAGAATTCAAAAGCCATTGATTCTGAAAGCAGATTCCCTCATTACTTTAGGCTAATCCTAAGTCAGGGAATCCTGGCATGTGTCCACTCCAGGTTTCTCCTTGTTGCTAAGGCAGTAATTCCCAGTTTTTTTCATCTCTTTATCACCTTCATTGTTTTGCCATATTCTTATGACAACTGTACTGTTATTTACTTAGTTTTTTTGCTATGCTAAATCAACTTTTTTTATTTAGCTTCATCTTAAACAAAAATAATAAAACTATAGATTTGGTAAGCCAGTTATTTATTTGCCTGATACACATTAGAATAAATATATAACCATAAAAATTGGTAGGAAAATTATTAAATCCATGTTCACCCCCTGAAATTATTTCACATATCACTAGTGATATATGTCACATGTTGGAAACCCTGTAACGGTGTGTTCCATTCAGTCTACAAATAATTTATTGAGTGGCTACTATATACAAGGCCCACTCTAGAAGGATAGCTTAAATCCTAGTAGAGAAGAGAGGCATTACATGTATAATTAGTTAATCAACCAGAGCTTGGGTAAGTGCTGTGAAGATGTGTAGGGTACTCTGAGTGGCTGTAATAAGAAGACTGTTTTGGAGGAGTGAAGGAGATTTCTCAGTTGAAGTCTAGAAGTCCAGATTAACCTTTCTTAGAGGTCACATCCTAGTTGTTTATATAAAATCTTTGCAGAATAATCACTTATGCATCAGCAAGGCATTGGGAGGAGAGAAGAAGCAAAGGGAGTTAACATTTGTCATGGGACAGGCCCAGATCTGGGGTCCTTCACATTCATTACCTCATTAGAACCTTATCCTGGGGGCTATTATCCAGACTTTACAGATAATGAACTAGAGCCTTCCACAAAGATGGTGAGTAACTTGTCCATGGACACACAACTGTTGAATGACAAAGCCAAATCTGAACCCAGGTCTGCCTGACTCCATAGCCTTTGATTTTTCTACTCTGCTGTGTTTCTGCCCATGCTATTGTTTGGTCTCCTAGAGCATATTTTTTTTCTGGAATGTTTTATGTATTATTCCAATGTGGCAGCAATGATATTTTAGAGAGGTCAAGAAGTAAATCACACGTTTAATAGATTTGATTTTCCATCTCTTCTGTGTTGGAAAGGTGGACCAATGCTCCATCATATTGTTAAAAGGTACGTGCCTTCTATTCTAAAATTGAATGTCTAGGAAATATGAACTCCATAAAGAGAGTCTTAGAGCAGATGGTTGACAAAGAGCTAGGGAGTTTAAATACCATCTGTCACTATGATCTGGGCTTAATAATTGCCCACACTGAGCCACAGATACATTCTACAGAATGGGTAAGAGCTGGATTCTTTATCTTCCTCCTTCAACTCTTCCTCCATAGGTAACCCATCTTCATTCCACATTGAGTTATATTTTAATACTAAAAAAAATTGTTATAAATTTGGTCAACAGCCAACTAGTCAGCTTAAAGGATGGAACTGGACGGATGGATGGATGAGCTGGATTGATTTTTAACTACATGGCAAAATAAATTCACAATGTTAACTCTCCAGGTATCTATTGGTTGCCTTGTGATCCTGGTCAGAACTGTTGTCTGTGGTTTGAAAGTTATGGGGTTTTCCAAGTTACAGCAGAGTCATAAAAAGAAAATGCACATTTAAAAAATAAGACATGCTACTAATTCTTCGAATGTAGAGATTGTGGTAAACAGATAGTAATTCTTAGAAGTTCTGGGTTGTCAGCTCTGCTGATCCCTAGCTGAGAAATGCCAAATGCCACCAGGAAGAATATAACAAATACAGTCACTGTTAGAAGGAAACAAACGGGGCTTCATCCATATATTTCCCCTTGTCTGGTGGCCTCTCTAGGCTTGTCATCATTGATTTCTATGAATTAAACACCCAGTAGTTGAGAAACTGACAGTGAAACTGTCCTTTGTGGCTCAGCCTTTAAAATGTCACTGAGTGCCTTGCCAACTTTCCCATTGGTTACTGTGTTTGTGCTTCCCCATATTTGAGTGCTCTCATTAGTGACATCAAGGAAATGAGGTCCTTAACCTGCAGCCCCAGACACTGAGGCACCAGAAGGTGAGTCCTAGCCTGTGAGAGGAAACACATCACC